GCAAGGTAATTACTCCATTAATTCACTTCCCTCTTGAAAGTGCAACCAGAGAAATAAGGAAAACAAATTATCTAGGAGACTGCAATTCACATGCATAATTAATCTGCCTGCCGAATTTGGTGTCTTGGCTTTTCTGCTGTGGAGAACATAATCTCTTTTCTACTTTAGCTCTGCCAGTCAAGAAGGAGCGTGTGTGCATGTAAGAAAGAGAGGGGGAGAGGGAGAGAGGGAAAGAGAGGGAGAGAGAGGGAGAGAGAGGTAGGAGGGAGGCCTCGCCCATCTGTCCGAATAACTGATGCTGAACTAAAACAAGAATCAATGCTGCAACCACAGAACTGTGGCTTTGCTAGTTCCTCAATTTAACATCTCAGCTTTTCCTTCCGCCAGAAAAAACAACTGACCGTATTTGAGAAACAGCCTCCTGTAACTTGTAAGCGGGGCTGACACAGCCGAGGCTCTGAAGTTGAGCAAAACTTACTTAAACTCAGTAAGTGGGTCACTTTTCCCTCTATTCCTCCACTCACCATTAAAACAATCTTTCATTCTTTCTCGGTGTTTAGGACACCTATATTTGGCCATTACTGTGCAATCATAGATTTGTGTGCTTCGTATAAATACTAAATTGTTTAATTTATTCATGTCTATCTCAGTCACAACAGACGAGAAAATGTGGATGCCACTTAACTAAAATTATTCTAATCTTCTAAGACTAAGAACTTTGAAAGCTTTTGAGGGTGGAGGTCATGTCTTGTGACCCAAGCAGAGGCCTGTAAGTTGGTAAAAGCCAACTACTCAGTCAAGTGTGCAGAGGGCCTGAGTGAGTACTGATCATGAAGATGATGACAACACAGAATAGTCTGTTCAATAAAGTTAGTTATCATATGGGTACATTTATTTGGAGGAAATTATGATTATTTGAGCTCAGTTTAACGGCTTAGGTACAAAGAAGCTTCATGGGACCTGCCTGTTTATTCCAGGAAGTTGCCCTGCAATTCAATAGCTAATACAAAATCAATCCAATTGTAGAAAATAAAATAAAATATGTGAATGAATGAGCTCATCCTCAAATATGAAGATGACACCAGTTACTACCTCACAGGACTATTGTGATGACCAAATGCTTTAATATGGTTAAAGCACTTAGAAAAATACCCAATTCAAAGTAAGTAGTATGTGATATTAGCTGTCATTACTACAGTGATAAATTGAACCTCCCCCTCCCCACTCTTCCCATGCACTATCTTGCAAGATGGAGTGATTATGCAATTGCTGGAAGACTGGTGTAATGATTGAAATTGACAAACCAAAACAAGGGGAACCGCCAATAGTAAAAGCAAGAAGTTGGAATCAGAAAGGGTCTGAGGGACACAGCAGGGAGATGCCATCTGGGGAACACTGCAGCTATAGCAGCTGTGGGGAGACGCCCCTCAGAGACAAACATCTGATCAGAAGGTAACTTCAAAACAAAATCATTGTGAAACATCAACACATTTGATTTAAGAGGTGCATTTGCATCTGGCAAAATAGGAACACTTACAACTCTTCAAATTGGCTGCCATTGATTAGTTTTATATTTTGATGAGCTCTAATTTTAATCTTTATTTCTGCAGTGTTCAACATATAGGTGGAATAGTATCATTTCATTTGAAATCTATAAGTTGGGAAACTAGCAGATTAAAAAAAACCCCGTAGAAAGAAAATAACAGTAATCTAAATGTCATTCTGCTATAAAATCTACTCTAAGTCTTAAAGTCCAATGCCTATAATCTTACCTTATAAATTTTTGACTCTTCATAAATATAATCTTATAAGCAAATTTCTTAATTTTATTGTACCTAATCTGATTTCAAAATTTGCTTGCCATCTCTCCTATATACACAGAGGGGCCTGTACTCTTTAGGTAACAAGGAGATGTTAATTTGAGAATTTTCTGAGAATAATCCGAAGTGACTAAGTAAAAGTTAATGATATCTGTTCTTGTGTTCTTCGTCATCAAAGAAGCCCATTATTGGGTACATAGTTTTGGTAAGAATAGCTAAGTAGTTTTGGCTCAATGAATGTATTTAGAGTAAAATAATGAGGTTATAATTTTGCCTGTTTGTTAAAGTCATTGCACAATTTCTTAAATTCCTTGAGGTCAATGTCTATACGGTGCTTTGAGGCTAAAATGAAGACAGGAGTTTGGCAAAGATGAAGCATGGTAGAATGCAAAATATTATATTATTGTTGCATCTTCCTTCTTAGCAATAACTGTGGGAACTCAATATGTATTAAGTTAATAAGTGAAATCAAGGACTTCTATACATATATATGGAGCTGAGAAAAAGTACTCGTGACAAATTTTTAATTCGAAAACTATCATTAGCATCAACTATGTGCCAGGAGAGACAGAGAAGGAGCTCAGGTCTGTCAGCTCAGGTCTGTAAGAACTTGAAACTAAAGCAGTATGATCAATGCTAGACTTACTCTAAGACCAAAGCATTAAGCAAAACTAGTGGGGGTAGCGACAAGGAGTCGAGGCCTCAGAAAGGGCATGTTTCTTGAAGCGAGCCTTGAAAAATGACCAAAAGCTGTACAAATAAAGAAGAAAGCAATTAAAGAAGCAGTTGGAGCGAAACTACGTGAAAGAGAATGGAACTTTCTGGGGGCTTGTGGTCTGGTGCAGCCAGAATGTGGGTTAGGAATGAGGGGGGCCAGAATGGGGTGGGGAGAGGTTGAGCAGAAGGAAGTGACAAGAAATAAGGTTGGGGAAGTGGGTTGAGGCAAGTTTGTACAGGCACACAGTTCTTTAGTAAAGCTGTGCATTAATTAAAAGAAAACACTTCCTTTTATTATTATATGAAGCCCGCAACGATCTCCTTTACTTATAAAAATAAAAACGTTTCTGGATTTATCACAAATTTCTTTTTTCTCTTTCTGTCTCTGTCTCTCACTCTCTCTCTTAAAACTCTGAGTGCCGAGACCTCCTTAGCCAGCTTCAGTAATAAAAGCCATAATCACCTATATCTGGGGAAAGGATGCTGGTGTGGAAGGATCTGGTAACAGCCACCAGCAGTAAAGAGCCTGAAATCCCGACCACTTACCGCCCAGACCCCAAGTGCCAGTGACCTTGGGACAGCTCCTTTAGTGACCTAAACCCACTCCTTGTCTCAAAAGGTAGTTGAGAGGATTAACCGAGGTAATGTAGGAAGAATGGCAGCACACATGATGTGCTCAGAAACAGTAAGTGTTATTATGATGTTTCCTGTCCTCTGTCAGTTAAATGGAGGCATTTGAATGAGATTTTACTTGTTAGTCTTCCCTTCCTGAAAGGGTTCAGAGACGGAATCATAAATGAAGTTAAAACGCTGAAGCTGTTTTCCAAATTACCAATCGTTTTAAGGCATCTCTTACAAAAGAGACAAAATTTAAAATGCTCCAAAGAAAAGCGTCTCTAGGATTGCTAACGAATGCCCTACTAAGCACAGCTCCACCCCACCACAGCAGTGCTTGTTCAAAGGGCAAGACCCAGAAGAAGAACGGATACTTTATAACATATCGGGTGGATGCTTTAGCAACGTAAACTTGATTTCAAACAAGAGACATTTTTCTACTTTGAATTAACTTTTTCTTAGTCCTTTTTATTCCTTTCCAAACATAAGGAAAATACTGACATTCCTTCACATTCTAATTTATTTTATTCTTATTAATATTTTTACTTAAAATAAGACTCAGCCTAATCTGTTCTTTTCTGGGGTTTAAGCCCCTCCTCCTTTGATTCCACATTTTTGCTAGTTTAAAACTATTCAGGTGAGATATGCAAAGTAATGTTGATGGTTACATTTTGCAACTTCCAGAAATTTGCATTTAAAGGTAAATGATTAATTCCATTCAAATTTGCTTGCACAGATGTTCTTTAAACAATCATACTTCATAGAAACCAATTATGATAAATTTATGTAAAATCAAAATCAAGATGTGTGTGCATAAGCCATCCTTATTTGTTTACTGACAGTTTTTTGAAAAGTTGTCCCGAGAGAGTAATTTTAGAAAACAAGGTGCTATATTGGATTAAGAAAAATTAGGTTTTGGTAAGTCTACTGATTAATGTGTCCATTTGCAGTCTGAATGGCTTCTCTATTTATCATCTGTCAGTGGTGCTTAGTGCTGTACGATAGTGTTAATTAAATAAACGCTGATACTACACGATCCAAAGTCTCTTTGTTTGGGCAAAGTTTCTGAACTAAGCATCCCATATCAACTTTATAAAAATTTCTATTGTAGACAGAAGCCTTTCTCCCAGAATTTAACTGAGTATTCATTTGTATGGTCATAGTGTAACAAATAATTCAAACGATCCCACAAAAACAGTACAATTAAGCAACACAAATTGCTTTTATTTTTAGAGACTAAATGGAGAAGAGAGACCTCTAATTCCATGTGGTTATTAAGCACACCCATTAAAAACCCTTGGTCCCCCAAATCACTCAAATAACCAGTATCATATTCAGTAGCATGACTCAAGATGTTAATATATCTACCAAAGTACTGTAAAGATGTTTTTTAAGAAAAACAGAACCGCAGGAGCTAAAATTAAACTACCCCCATTAGGCCAATGAACAGCACAATCTAAATGATCAATATGCACTTTCCTGAAAACATCTTAAAGAAAAATAAAATCACAGTACAGAACCTTCCTGAAATAAAGCAATAGAAATAAATCAGAATAGGATCTGGTTTAAAAGAAAAAAAAATCTTAATTTGTGGGAGGGGATGATCACCGTGGATAAGTTGAGAAGAAGACAACCCAGAGAGCCAAGGGGCTGGCTCCACGCTGGACGGCCACACAAGGTGGCTGCAGATCAACTGGGCAGCTACACCGGGACAGGGCTCACAGAGGGCTCAGGTGACAGGTGCTCCCATCTCTAGTCCCCTGGAGGCAAAATCCACAATCCACAGAAACAGTGCCAAACAGCACCACAAGCACTCAGAAACAACAAAAAAAGATGAAGAAAATTTACCTTGTAGAAAAGCTGTCCCTGGTAGTGCTGGCGTGTGACCAGAAACCCCCTTCTTTCTGATCTGCAGAACAGCTTTGTCAAGCCGGGGTGTGTGGTCACAAAGCAGGAAGTGACTAGAATGACAAATCATCAGCCAGGAAAGAAATAGATTTTGTCTTTATAAGGACATTTTACTTAACTTTTTTATCATGTTCCCTCCCCTCCAAAAATCACCTGACAGAACAGGTCACAATGAAATTCAGACGCCTCTTACCACTTCCTCTTTATAAGCATTTTTCTCTCTCCTTCCCTTTCTTTCTCCTCCAGTTGTTGTAAGCGGGCCCTGGGAGACTTAAACCTTTCTGATGGCAGATAGCAAGGTGAGGTCAGCCTGCTACCTTGATTTCTTTGCCTGACCCCCACAAAGCCCAGGTGTCTACCTACTTACAGCAAAGATAAACAAATTATTCATTTTGAGTGAAAGAGCCAAGGAAAAAGGTGGCGGTACACCTGAAACAAGCAACAAGGGACTTCTTTGGGAACGCCCTGCCTCAGCAGAAGCCAAACTTCTCTGGAGTCTTCCAACAATGACCTTATTCATGTAAACAAAACCAAATGATCTCTTTAAGAGAAGGGCAAGACAAGAAAGGTTACTATATTATTTAGTCATTCTTTTATTTATAGAACACCTATGTGCTAACGATCTCTTTAACCCAATTAAAGATCTCAATTATTTAGGTGGTTCCTACAAAGAGCAGTGCTGGACAACACAGGCAGCTGCTTAGTTAAATGAGCAGCTTAATTCCTTCATACAGATGAGATTTTTTTTTTTTTGAATGCACATTTTATAAAATTAGCAGGGGTGTGGGGAAAGAGCTGGATTCTATGCCCAAACCCCAGATGCTTGAGGGCAAATTCCTGTCTCCAAATGGAATATCCTCAGGTGCTCAAAGTGATCGTGAAGGCTGGGTAGCAGCCCCCTGAGGTATGTTGACTAAATATTAAGCAAGTCCACACATCGCCCAGAGCCTGTGTGGCTGCAGCTGTAATTCTGCTGTTCAGGAATGAAGCTACGTGGCTGTGCTCCCAGGTCAGATGGTGAGTTGAAGATGCGTGATGATCTAGAATCTACATGCACCCTTCTTCACTGGGGCCGCAGATCTGTCAGGAGGTCACAGTATCTAACTGGTTGGGGTTGAGGGGGTGTTGCCCGTATACTTCTTTTGCTTCTTTGATTTGTCCTCTAGAAAGTCCCTCCTTCTGACCTCAAATGTTAAACCAAACTGTTCTAGTTCATCTACTCCATTAGCGAGTAGTGTGGCGACTTTGTCAGAAGCCCACAGGAGCCTTCTTGGGGAAGAGGGTGGGCAGAAGAATGGGAAAAGATGGTGGCGATTCAGTCCACTATAGACATGGTTCACCCCACAGAGACCTAGCAGCCTTCTTGTGATTCCCCAGAGAAGACTGGTGGGGTGATGGGACCCCCTGCTCCTTTGCATAATTACCCCCAATTAATAAGTTGCAGAGAGGTTTCAAGAAGCACCGAAATTCTTTCAGGACACCAGAGGATTATCCACGCATCACTGTTACAGTACTGCTCACACTGCAGAGCAGTGAAATGCTGGTGGTTTCCATGCTGGTGGAAACGGTCATCATTCACGGGTCCTGAGACTCCGGAGATAAGGTCTTAATGGTCTTATGGATGATGTGGGCAGTGACTGTAAATCTCCCTAATCTGGTCCCACATCCTTGTAGTTTCAGGATGGCATGAAGGTCCAACAGTCATGCTTCACGAAGGGGAATGTATATTCATTTCATTTACCTGGGAGGAGTCATGCAGCAGCATTCTGTATCTATTGGTGCCTGGTCATCTGAGACCACAGGAATCTATAAAAAAGAGCAAAATATATTTATGCATTGGTTCAATAAAAGTTGCATGCGTATCTGAACTGGCAGTTCTGAAATAATAAGACACAATCAATGCTCCAAGGAGTACAAAGGCTGGGGGGAGGAAAAAATGTAAGAAAATAAATGCCATCTATCACAGAGGGATGAAAAGGCAGTGTGATATCAAAGCAGATGCAGATTTGAGCAGAGTTGATATCTGAAGACATGAAACATGCATAGTTATATCTAGCATTTGGTTCAAGTGGAAAAAAAAAAGGGATTTTGGATTTCAGACAATGTCTAGATCGTAGAAGATGAAAGCCACTGACTTGGGTGCTGCTTACAACCACGCAGTCGATGGAGTGCTCTTCTGCCCCGGCACCTACTCAGCTGTGACTCCACGCTGGGACCCGCCACCCCCTCAGCCACATCCTGGGTCTCACCGTTTCAAGCCCTGCCCCGCTCCCTTATCCTTAATCTCTCTCTCTCTGCCTCTCAGTGGTGTAAGTCTACCCAGGTGCAGGCAGTTGTTTATGTTTTAGACCAAGACTTTTTCAGAGCAGAGTATTTTATCGCAGTCAGTGTTTAGAATTGATCGTGCATCATAAAAATAAACACAAAACTGACTTTGGACTTTATTACTGTTTTTATGTTCACTACAGATAATGCGCTCCTATGGAGTGGATCCTTCCCGCCCACCCTCACAGGCCTCTGCTGCCACCTCTCTCTCTCCTTCCCTGGTCTGTGCTTTGCCTTCCCTCTGACCCCACCGCCCTCTGGGACTTCACCCCGCCCTGGCCTCTCCGAAGCCCCCAGCCTCGGTCGCTATCACTGGATCACCTGCTACTCTTGGCCCCTGAATGCTGCTGAGAAAAGTCACAGAAGCACAGACCTGGAGTGCTATAAATTAGAGCTGCTTGACTTCAAATTACTTCTCAGAAATACTTTTATTCAATTTCATTGATTCCTGAGAGCAAGCATTCTCAACTGGGGGTCCATAGGCCCCTAAGATTATACGTGTAATTTTGTGTCTGTGGACTTTTTCCTAGGAAAAGGATCCACCGTGTTATCCATCATATTGTGAAAGAGATCACAGACCCCAAAAGCCTGGGTATTTATCCTAATTCAAACTCTTTCCTCTTGCCTCAACTTCCCACCCCCTTCTGCATTTTTTCCTGGCCCAAGAGTCCTCCGCCGCCCCTTACTGGTTGCAACGGTCCAAGTCATCTGGTGTGAGCTTCCTTCTCTAGCCTCCTCTGCTCTCACAAGATCCACCTTTTCCTCCTCTCTTTCCTCTCTTTCTATCTTAAAGGAGGTTTTCTTCCTTCTTCCCAAGGTTAATAGTTACTCAATACAATTTTAATCTTACCTTCTATGCCCTGAGACACCTGGCTCCATCAATTATCTCATGTTTTTCTAGCACCTTTAATCTCTTATCTTCTCCCCACCTCCTCTTCACGCACTCGGGAGATTAGTACAAAGGGACAGACACCCTTGCTTCAGTGTATGGTCCATCCCGCCCCCAATATATGATGGGCAGGGAATGAGGAGGGACTGATCTGAGCACACTCCCTGCCTTTGTAGAATGTCCACAATGGTTGAAGACACAGACAAGTTAAAGGCGCATGAAGAGTACGCTGCTCACACCCGCGACAGAGGAAAAGCAGAGTGCCTGTGGGACACAGCAGCACTGTTCCAGACTTGGGGTCTGGGAGGCCTGATGAGGGAGCATGGAGCAGTTTAGAGTGACGATGCTGGGCCAGTGTCCTGGGGTCAAACCTCAGCTGCACGGCTGGACTAGTTGTGTGACCTTGGGCAAGTCACTTAATTTCACTGGCCTCAGTTTTCTCCTCTGGAAAACGGTGAAATGAGTTGTTCTATTTTATACAGTTATTGTGTGGGTTAAGTGAACTGATACATGTAGAGAACTTAGAAGAGTGCCTGGCACAGAGTAAATACTATGTAAGTATTAACTAGTCTTTTAATATTTATATATAATACTAGGCTCTGGACTAGATCGTTAACATGCATTTTCATTTATTCTTCAGAACAACGCTATGAATTAGGTATTATTGTATTTGTTTGTTCTTTGATTTTTAAATTACAATTATGATTTATATGTCATAAAATTCACCTTTTAAAAGTGTACAATTCAGTGGTTTTTAGTATATTTTTATTATTTTTTTTTAGAGATGGGGTCTTACTATGTTGCCCAGGCTGGATTCGAACTCCTAGGCACAAGCGATCCTCCTGCCTCAGCCTCCCAAGTAGCTGAGACTACAGTGGCGCAGTGGTGGTTTTTAGTATATTAACAGAGCTGTGCAACCATTGCACTATATAATTCCAGAACATTTTTGTCACCCCAAAATGAAACCCTGTGCTTACTAGCATCACTGTCCACTCACCCCCATCTCTAAATCCATGGCATAGGCAACCACTAGTTTATTTTCTCTCTCTATAGATTTGCCTATTCTGGACATTTCCAATAAAGGGAATCATACAATACACGTGGTCTTTTTTGACTAGCTTCTTTCACTTAGCATGTTTTCAAGGCCCGTCCATGTTGTAGAGTGTGTCAGCTACATTCCTTTTTATAGAAGAATGACATTCCACTATATGGCTAGACCACATTGTATTCAACCATTCATCAGTTGATGGACATTTGGATTGTTTCTACTTTTTTGAGATTATAAATAATGCTGCTATGAACATTTGTCTACATGTTTTGTGTGGACATATGTTTTTTTTTAATTTTTTTAATCAAAGCAATACATGTATGTAGTTTTAGGAGTCAAATATTTACCTTCAAGGCTTATCATGAAACACTGGTCTCCTGATACACTCCTTCTCTACCTCCGATTCCCTAGAAACAAGTATTTTCAACAGTTTTAGCTATTTCTTCTGCTATTTAGCTCCCTATTTCTAGATGTTATGCTTATACTATATCTTGATTGTTAGGGTTCAGATATATTTTTTTTACTTCCTACTTGAAAGATAAATATTTGACGTTCTCATTCCTCCTCACCAACATGTACAAGCTAACCTTCTCACCATCCTCTAAGACAGCTTATAACACCTTTTTAGTTAAATCAATGTTCAGTGTTTACAATGACTATCAAAACATTCATAACAGGTATGTAGTGCACTATGTTTTTGTATTTCTTTTCATTTGCTAGGTTTCTATGTTTGCATGACCAATTCTATAGTAAACTCTCCAACAGAGCTAAAATATAATTAAAAACGTCCAATAGGGAAGGGGGAGGGTGGTGGGCGGAGGGGGGAAGAGGGAGGAGGGGAGGGGTATTTGTATACACAAGGAGGGCAATGCGCACTATCCGAAGGATGGACAT